GACAGGCGGCCGCGGCGGGAGGGATGGTGGGAGTGGGCTGCCCTGCCTGAGGCCTGCAGAAGCCTCGGCGACGCCGCCGCCCGGCCCTTCGTGGCGGCAGCAACGCCAGCTTAAGCCCCAGGCCCCGGCTTCGCCCGGGCTGTCCAAGGCGCGCCTGATCAAAACAAAAGCCCCTCAAAGTCCCGATTATGGCTAATTTGCATTTAATTTTTGTTTATTAGCATATTTTCCCAAAGCGCCCTCTGCCTGTCGATGCGAGTTCTGCGGGCTCTTCTCACCTGTACTCGGGAACTCGCACCTGTTACCCGGTTCAGGTTTGAAACTCGACTCCGCCTGCTTGACTTTCAGTAAGTGGTCAATTTCCCCAACCTGGACTCTTGCCAGCAGTCTAATCCCCGGGTCCACCAGCTGAGTCCTGTTTCGATTTACTCATTTGTCCACCAAATATTGAGCACCTACTGTATACCAAGTTCCTGCCCTAAACCGTATTTTATCCATTCATTAGCTGACGGACATTCAGGTAGTTCCCGTCTTCTGTCTATTGTGAATTGTGCGGTTGTGAACATATGCGTACGTGTATCTGAGTACCAACCACTTTTGTTTCAGTACTAGTTTTTAAAATGATGTAAATTTGTTTGACGCCCATTTTTTTAATTTGGGGATATGCCACATAAAATTACAATTCCCAGCCTGTCCACCAGCTGGCAATTGCCAAAGATCTCCCTGTGAACAGGAAGTGGTCTGTGCAGGTCACCTGTCCCCTCTCCCAGCCCACCTCTCTTGGAGGTAAGACCTCAGCCCCTTGGCCCCGTGGACATTTGGGCTTGAAACCTTACTTACCCCAGGGCGTCCTGATGCCTCTCCTCCACTGCCAACAGGAGGGTGGACGCCTGACCATGGATGGCCCTGACGATGGTAGTGAAGTGAAGTGAGGTCACCCCTGAACTTGCATTTAGTAGGTGGTCCATCTCTGCTTGCAGACCTTGGTCATTTTTTCAACATTTACCAAGGACCTACTATGTATGTGCCAGACACAGCAATAGAAACATCAGTGAACAAAGTAACGAACCCCACCCGGGGAGGGGGGCAGTGTTCTAGATGGAGACAAACAACAGGAAATGATCAAATGAGGTATCTCGATACAAGGCGACAAATATTGTGGGGGGAAGTAGAACAGGGTAGGGGGCTGGGAAAAGGGGTGGTCTACGTAGTCCTGCGGGAAGGTGGGATTTGAGCTGTTTTGAAGAAAGGAATGAGGAAAGCATACAGGGATCTGGGGGAGGGGCACTCCAGGCAGAGGGCAAAATATGTGCAAAGGCCGCGGGGCAGGACCGCATCAGGCGTGTGGGGGGAACAGCGAAGAAGCCTGTGTGTTCCAGGTGGGCCATGATGAGGTTGGACCAGGTGGCGGTAGAGGAGGGAGAAGGGGGTGGATTCTGGATATGTTTTGAAGGCAGAACTTAAGGGAGATTTTCAGATGGACTGGATGTGGGTAGTGAGACAAAAAGGGGAGTCAAGGGTGAACCCCCCCAAAGATTTTGGCCTGCACACGTGGAAAGATGGAGCTGCCAGTGACTGATGGGAAGCTGGCCAGGGCAGACTGGGGATGGGGATAAGAACACCTTAGGTCTGGAGCTGAGGACGAGGCCAGCTGGCAGGGACCAGGGGTGTCCTCAGCACACAAGGGGACCTGAGCCTAGTAGGGAGTGGCAGAGGTCCTGGAGGCTGCCTGTCAATGGAGGCCCACGAAGCCGAGGGGAAATCTTGGAGCTATTTCCGGGGCACATGCAAGTGCGTGCAAGAGGGACTGAAGGGAGGGGCTGCACACGTCGACCCAGAATTCCAGGAACTCTGCCACAAAGGGGCACAGAAGCCTGCCAGAGCTGGAGGGGGACGGGGTTTAGGGAGCGGTATCTCCAGACTTTCGGGCCAGAATCCAGTAGAATGGGAACATGGGTGAAACAGGAGCAAGAGGAGGGTGCCAGATGGGAGTCATTCTCGAGTTAAGGCGAGGGCCCCGTGCCGAGGTTAGGGCGACCTTGTTGGCCCCAAGGGCAGGCAGGACCCTGGGGAGGGGTTGGCCGGAGCCGGTGGTGCAATACCAGCATCGACCACCAGGTGGCGGGACCGGTGCGTTCCCGGGCACGAGAAGCAGGGAAACCCGTGGGGAGGGTCTGCGGTCCCCCCCACCGCAGCCCCAGCGGCCTTCCGGGCTCTAGAGACGGCTAGAATCTGGGATGCACTTTTCCTAAGAAGGGGTTCAGGGTCCTCACTAGCTTCTCAATGCTCCCGAGGCCCCTTCCCCTCCTAGCCCCCTTCCTATTGTGAGCTGGTATACAGCGGGACGACTGGGCACCGGAGCCTTGCGGGGCTCGGATAGCGGGGTGTGAGCTGGCCAGGGGTCCGGGGACCCTCCGGGGAGAGCCCTGTGGCACCCGCGAGTGGCCGGTGGAGCGCGGGATCCCTCCCACCGCCGGAAGGGGGCGGACAGCAAACGCCCC